CTAGCTTGTCAATACCAGTAACTTCAGTTTCTAATTTGTATGAAATTATAGACTTAGTATTTTGACTTCACAAACATCTAATTTGAACCAGTGCTGCATTCAATATACCACGTGACACACAAAAATCAATGTTTATCTATGTTTTTCTAATATTTATTTTTAAAGTAACAAATTGAGTAATGTATAGTTCTAAAATTTGAATTATAATCTACAGTTTGATACCAAACCTATTGACATAAGTTCATGAAATAGTAGTTCAATAAAATGTTGAATGCAAGTCAACAAATGAGATGACATGGCCTTTCACCTGTGACCTGTCTCAAAAGGGTTAAAGGAACACCAAATTTCTATAAGAAAGCTAACTTCAAGAAGTAATGATAATATTGTTTCAACAATAATAATACTAATAAAATCATACTTCATTTGAAACTATGTCACCCCAGTGAAATTGTTTGACAACATTGTTTGGTTTCTTAGTTATCATGTAATAAAAGAAAACAGAAGAAAGAAGAACAAGAAATTCAAATTTATTGCTACGATATTTACAGACATTGCCAGAACTTGTGACTCAGTCATTACATAGATATTGCAATAAAAGTAAACACTAGATAGTAAAGTTCAGATGACCTACTGACGAGATATTTAAAATACCATTTGAATGAACAATGTGAGCCATCTCAACATCAGCAGTGCTGCTCCCTGCATGATTAACAACAAGCTATTTTGTAGAATAAAACTTTTGACAGTTATAATGTTATCTTAGAAAGTTTAAAAACCATTAGGGAATAAATAAAAAAAATAGAAAGTCTATTCAGATAATCTGTTAATTAAATTTATTTTCCACATTAGCTGCAGTAATTTTTACAATGATAGGATAATACCAGTTAAGTTTTTAAAAGTTAGTTGTGCAATATTGTAATGAAATTTTCAGTATTTTTTATATGAAAGACACTTCCACTATAATAATATAGTATTTTGGTTTAATCAATGCTGACCATATGGTTCTAAAGTAATGTAAACAAGTCAAATAAAGTTAAAATAACATTAATATATTTTATAAGCAACATCAAAGCTTTTAACTTTGTATCTACTAATGTGACTGATATGGAAATAAAGACAATTAGAAACAAACATTCGAAACTTCTTGACTGAGATTAAATAGTTAAAATTGTTTAGTGATATTAAGAAAAAATTAAAGCACTGGCATACAGGATGTTGTTTAGTATTGTTTAAGAAAGCTGCAATTTTTATAACATAAAACGTGTTACAGAATTGATTATTTTATTGATGTTTAAAATGAGTGAAAATGTATAGTTAAAAAGTCACTATTTATACATTCATACCACTTGCATTTTCACTCATTTTAAACATCAATAATATGAAAAACATCTTTTCCTGAGAATTCTAACTTTTAAATAATGAAAAAATTGATTCTGTAACAAGTTTTATGTTACAAAAAACTGCAGCTGTCTTAAACAATACTAACACTGATGAAAAAAAATCTGTAGAGTCTACATACATAGTTAGACCATCTGGAAAAAGTCAAGGCATGAAAATTAACCAAAGGAATATTTAATAAATTCTCATGTTGTTGTTTTATTAGCCAAGAAATATGCATTATTGGCTGAAGCCTTAAATGAATTACTGTAGATTCAGAAAACATGAAATATATTTTATGCAATCTATAGTCCAATAAAATAAAAACAATGACATTGAATTTTTTTTTTGATACTATATGTTAATGTAAAGGCATCTGGTTGCATTTTTTTAATTAATTTCTGAAAAAAATGGAGTGGGGTTTGGATACCCCTAGATCTGCACTTACATATACAACAATAAATAACACAATTATCAATTTAAAAAATAATGGAGATGGTTTGGCCCACCCTTGGACTCCTCCTCCAATTCCACGTCTGCTTGTAACAACACAAAGGAATAGTAATTAATTCTTGAAAAAATGGGGAACAGGGCCTCTTAGACTTCCTCCCAAAGATCCATACAACATTAAATAATACAGTTATTAATTTCTGAAAAAAAAAAAAAAAAGATGGATGGGACAT